TCTCCCCAGGGACCTCACTGGGGCAGGGAAGGGCTTCCTGAGGAATGGCAGGCCGTCCTGGCAAAGAGCAGAATCAAGGCCTGAAATTGCCGCGTTCCCACCTCTGAAGAACCGCCAGGAACGGGAGCTGATGTTTATGCGAGGCCTCTAGGCAGAGCCAGGACCTGTGAGGGGAAGCCTTGAGGAATAGCTTTCAGCTTCAAATGACAGAGACCCTTCAAAGCAGCAGCAGAATCATCAGACAAGAGTTGGAAGCTGCAGCGATCTTCCCATGCAGCCGTCTCGCTGGAGCAAGACCCAGGCAGGCGCCGGCCCTGCCCAGGGCCCCTCACAGAGCGGATGGCAAAGCTAAGATGAGCTCCAAGCGTCTGTCTTCCAGTCAGAGCTCTTTCTACCTGAATTTAGGAGGGCTTTTTGTGGGGGGAGGGGATGTCCTAGAATGGAGTAATCTTATAGCATCTTTGATTTCCACTGAGCCAAGAGCAAGATCATCTTTTGTGTTAAACCTCAGAGTCATACACTGAGTCTATTTGTTTGCAAGAATGATTAAACCCTGAAGTACGCATACAGCTCTCTCAGTTCAGATGTAGAGCCAACTGGGGACCAGTAGGCATTTGGGAGTGAGGAGAGTAGAGCCCCTGCAGCGGGATGCGGGGACCCAGCCGAACAGGAGGTTGGAGACCCTGCAACTGGCTCTCCCACCGGGGCTGCTGCAGGGCCAGTGGGAGGCAGCGTCCCCCTGTGATGACAGCCATTTCCCAGCCACCTCGTGGGTGCCAGTGAGTATTCTCGCACTGGACTTCTTTATAGCAGTCAAATCCTCACCAGTGGGACCTGCCATCCGAATCCGAGGTCTGAAGTAGTGCACCTTTTAAAAGAGAACACTCCTTGTTTGCCCACAAGGAGCCAGTGCTGTTCTGTGGGACAGGGAGCCCTCGGTTTCTCGGTATTTTTAGCCTCTGAGAACAAACAGAAAGTATCGCTTGAAGAGCCCTCAGCATAATCCGGTGGTTCTCAGCTCTCGCGTGCCTTAGGGTCCACTTAGGGGGCTTTTAAAAATACCGCCACCCAGGATCTAGCCTCAGGGGTTCTGATATCACAGGTCCACACCGGGACCAGTCATCTCTGTTTTCTAGAAGTTCCCCAGGTCACGCTAGGGCCTGGCCGGAGCTGAGAGCCACTGGGACCCCTGCAGTGCAGCTTGCAGGCGGAGAGACTGAGTCCCAGAGACAGAGAATCCTCTGTCCGGGCCACACAGTGAGTCAGGGACAACCTGCAGCAGAGCGCGTGGGGCAGGTCGGTCTGAAGTGACAGTCCCCGGGCTGCAGCCCCCCTCCCTCTGCCTGATACCCCCACCTCCCGACCCCCAGTGGAGCTTTCTGTCTGCCTGTAAATCCCCCGGTCCACAGTCCGCAGGCCAGTCTGTATGCAAGTGGGCAGTTAGCATTGTTTGTACAATGGAGTTAGCAAGCAGCGAAGAAGTTGGAAGTTGGAGGTGCCGGGCGCCTATCATAGTCACCACCCCCTGGGGCTGTGGGGGATGGAAGAACACGGGGAACACCGTTTGTCTGCCTTCAGACCCGGGAGGGGCTCTAGGCAGGGTGCAGGGGGCGGGACTCTATGCTGCCTGGACGTCAGCAGCAGGAATCACAAGGCCTGGGCACACCTAGGGCATTGCTCCAACACGGGGGCCATCACCCAGTGCCCTGAGCTCACAGAGAATGAGGTGCTGGATGGGGAGACTCTGGGAAGGCTTCCTGGAAGAGGTGGATGAAGTTTGGACATGTTGGTGTGGCAGAGGGAGGAGAAAGCCCTCTTCCAAGCAGAGGGACCATTGTGGGGAACCAGTAGCAGTAAGAAAACATGCAGAGTGTTTGGGGACCTAGCAAGTAGTCCGCAGTGACTTTTATCATGACTCCAATAACTCTAATTTATTGAACACTTACTATTAGTTAGGCCCAAGCCAGAAATTGCCTTTATTTTCCTCTCTTACTCTCATAGCCACCCTGAAAGTTATAGCCACCTGCTCACAGGGAGCAAGCTGGGAGGGAAACATTGTCTGCAGGTGGGAATGATGTTTACCTCCCTGGTAGGGCTGGGCGGGGCTGCAGTCACTGCACTGCAAGGTCAGAGATAATGAATTTTTCTTAATCTCTGTATCTCCTGACTCCAGCACAGATGTCCAAGGCATCCTTGGTCAAGGATGAGGAAATAACCTCATCTTCCACCACCTACACTGATATTTTTGAGGGGTTGTTTCTTATGAAATATCTCAGGCTGGGCCTGGCGTGCAGTAGGCACTCTGTAAATGTGGGCTGAATGGCCGGTAGCCCTGTTCAGTATGGGTGGGCAAAGTGCTCCCAATTCAGAACTACAGGACCCAAGTTCAGGCGCCCACTTGGTTGGTGCCCAGCACACGGCCCTGAGCATGCATTTAACTTATGCGAGGCTCCTGCCTCATCTACAGACTGGGGTGAATTATACCCAACACACGGTTTGCTACGAGCCCTTAAATGCAAGGTGTGAGGCTCCCGTGAGCCTCCAGGCACCGCCTCCAGGGAGAGATTATGGTGATTATGGTCACGGTGGGAAGCTGCGTATTATCTTGGTGCCAGGGGACCTGCAGCAGGGCCTGTGAGTCAGAGGGGTGGGCTGTGCGGCTGGGGGCGAGGCGGGGGCCAGCCACACCACTTCCCGGCTCCGATGATTTATTCTGATCAGCCTGAATATTTCATGCGCTGCCTCCCCACACCAAATAAATAAATCAGGGCCTCCTGTTTGGGGTGGGGGTGAGGGAGAACAAGAGCTGTGGAGACTGAGACTTCAAAAAGGCCCGAGCCAGAATGCTGGAGGTCCCAGCGGGGTCTGCTAATGTGACATTTAGGAACTGGGGGACCCAGGTAAGCGACAGCCGCCAGCACAGTGTGATTCCCCCCCTTTTGGTGGGGAGACCTTTGCGGGAGAAGGAAGTGACTTTTATAGCCCTGTTTTCCACCCCACTGTCAGCGGAATGCAGGCAGAAGGGTGGCCAGCCAATGGGATTCCTGGTTCCGTTTCCTGAATGTTTTTAAGGGGCCAGCAGGGCACCTGCATTTCCCTTGGAGCCAGAGCCACACCGGCAGTTCCTCTGGGTGCATGTTGCTTTATGACCTCTGGGCACTTTGAGGACCAGGGTCTGCAGCTCCGGGGACCCGCCTGTCCTGCGGGTGGGCATTCCTCTCTGCAGTTAATACACTCAGGAGGCACAGGGGCCCGTGGAGTGGTCAGCTCCACTCGGAACTGTCCCCTCTCAGGGGCCCCATCAAGGCAGCCCCATGGCAGGGAAGAGTCCTTGCTTTGACCCTGGACTCAGGTCCTAGTGTCGGCGGGACCCTGGGCACAGCCACAACTGCCCAAGCCTCTGTTTCCTCGTCTGTAAAGTGGGACTGAAGCCACCTACTCCACCCAACTGTGAGGACTAAAAAATGGCGTAGGAAACTCCTAGCCTAGATCCAGGCACACCGTGGGGCTCAGTGAATCCCCTCAGTCCCTTCTTGCCCACTCCCCACCCCTGTCAAAGCCTGCTCTGCCCTGGGGGCTCCTTCCCCTGCTCCCACACATGTCCCCTTTGGTCCTCTGCCTCTAACCCCGCCTCTCCCTGGATCTGCTTTACCTGTGGTTTCCAACATCCCCCAATGCCAAATCCCCTGACCCTCTGCTCAAGGGGCTTATTGTCCCAGCCTCTTGGTGGCGTGTTGCATTGCTGGCCAGCTCCATGGTGAAACTGTCCCTTTCTTTGGCTTCTACGATGCCCACTCTGCTAGTGTCCTGGCCACTTCTTCCCAGTGTCCCCCCGAGGCTGGTGCTCTCCAGTAGAATGTCTGTGGTCCTCTTCACTTTTCCCTGGGCCTGTCCGTGGCAGTGCCCTTGCTGCCCTCTGCTCCAACTCCCAGTTACCTGCTGATGGCCTCATGTCCCTCTCCTCAGCCCAGAGTCAAGGGCATCTCCACCCTGATGGTCCATAGGTGCCTCAGGCCCAGCACGTTCAAATGGGAACTTACCATCTTTCTGCATTAGTTGCTCTCCTCCTGGCTTCTCTGTTTGGGGAATGGCATCCGGGCCTCCCAGGCACTCACTTCACTCCCCTGCTCCCCATCTTTCCCACCCACTGATCACTCAGGTGTCCACATTTTACATGGGAAAAAAGAAACCATTGTCAAAGCTAATTACTAGCTCTGTTCCTCCTGCCACCACCCTGGTCCAGAATAGTACCTAGGATGAAGGTAAATTCGAATGTATCACCTGGTCTAAAAATACACCCGCACAAGTACACACACAGGAAACTCCGTGCCCGGCATGACAGCAGAGCAGCGTGTCCTCTGAACAATGCTCACGCCGCCTCAGAGTGCATCACAGAGATAAACTGTGCAGACTGAAGGCGGCAATGGTCTCCTCCGCGAGCCGCTGCCCAGATCACACCTGAAGTGCGCTGGTCGGCCCTCAGGTCTGCACTGCATCAGACCAACAGTGACATTGTGGAGCGTGGCCCGAGGAAGGGCCTGAGTGGGGTGGGAGGCAGAAGTGATGTTCAGTAAGGGGGTGGGGGCTCGTGTCAGGGGGTGGTCTGTCTTTGTCTTCAAGCTCAAGGGCTGCCCTGGGGCAGAGGGATCAGAGACTGTCTGTGTGGCCCCAGAGGGCAGAGTTAGATGGCAGGGGAGTGTTACCGAGCAGCCGCTCAGCTCAGTGACCAGGAAGGACTGGGTAACGGGCAGAGAATCCAATTATGGGGGCGTGGGCTCCCCATCTGTACACGCACAGCAAAGGACAGACAAGCAGTTGACGAGACAGAGTGAGACAGTGTTTGTTCCGGCCTAGGTCAGGTCAGAAGTTTTATGATTCTACCTGGGGGCCGGAAAGGCCTGCAAGAATGTTGTCGGGGCCCGTAGGGAGACCCAGAGCCCCCAGACAGACACAAAGACGGGGCTCGGGTCTAACCAGCCCCTCTCTGTTGCTCCCCACAGACAGCAGGGAGGTGAAGGTGGGCGAGTACAACGCTGTGGCCGACACACTGGAGATCATCAATGACACCATTAGATTCCAAGGTAAGGTGGGTGGGCTTCTTGGAGGAGGGGGTCTGCTCAATTGCTCCCAAGCCTGGATATTATCTGAGGGTTAAGGATAAGCTCTGAGTCCCTGGTTTTGTGGGAAGGAGGGAACATCCTCTCTCTCAGCACATAACTCACTCTCTGAGCACAGGGTCCGCATCGCTCACGTGGGAGCTGGATCCCAGCTCCTGGGGTGGGTCGCTGGAGTTTGTATGAGTGCTGGCTGTCACCAAGGCATCTGTGTTAAACCAGAGGATGGCCAGAAGCAATTCTTTCTAAACATGGTCCAGCTAAATCTAGCTCTGTCTCTTCCCCTGGGAAAGGACTTGGTTGGGTTGGTAATAAGACCTCTCCACATGGTACTCTTCCCTCTTCAGATTCCTCAGCTGAAGAACTCCTCCTCAGCTTCTAGAACCAGATCAAATAACACCTCTTCTGTGCAGGCTTCCCTGATTGCCCCCAAGTGGGCTAATGGCTCCCTTCTCTTGGCTTTCACAGATTTTTTTTCTCTGCCTTTACCATGGCCACTCTCACTCTGTATTGAAATTTCTAGATTGTTGGACCATGAGCTTTCTGACTGGAACCAGTTTGGTTTTAAATTCCAGGTGCCAGCCCAGGGTCTGGCACATGTTGGATATTCAGTGATATTTTAGGAAAACGTGAATACGTGGTTGATCAAGTGACAGACGGGCCGGTGGGTGAGTGCATGAATGAACAGGTGAACACACGAGTCACGGAAGCAGTGGGTGGATGGAGGGATGAATGAGTGGATGGGGAGATGGATGGATGGATGGATGGGCGGACGGGCTGGAACCAGTCTGAACCCCCTGGAGTCCGTTCGGTCCCTCACGGCCGTGCCACGCCTCCACCACCGTGTCGTGCCGACATTGCCCGCCTCTGCTCAGAGCCCTTCTGGTGGCCTCTGCGCACAGCAGGGGGCCTCCCTCCACAGAGGGACCCCTCCCCACGTCCCCACCTTCCCCTTCAGATCTCCCACACCAAACTGCTCACAGTTCCTCAAATGCACCCAGACGCCACCATGCCTCTGCCTCTGCCGGGCCCGTCTGCCCAGGCCACCCTTTCCTCCTCGTCTTCCTGGTGAACAGCCAACTGCTCACTGTGCTCTCTGCAACCCCTGCTGACGCCATCAGGCCGAGCTGCACTCTGCCTCCTGCCTCCTGCTTAGGCCTCCCGGTGCCTGAGAGCATCAGCCACCCAGACAGTGGTGTTGGAGGCAGATTGCATGGCATCAGATAGAGCACAGGCTTCGGAGTTAAGCAGGTCTGGGTTCCAATCCTGCCAGCGTTGCCACTTAACGGGCTATAAAAACCGTTTAACACCTAGAACACTGTCGCCGACTCCCACTCCGCCCACCAAGATGGGAATCATCTTTCCTACCCAGGAGGTTATCGGGTGGATCGACTGAGAAAACCCCTGAGAAGTGTTTAGCCCCTAGGAAGCATTCGGTGAATGTTATTGCTTATTACTGCCTTTCTCTTTGTGTGTGGCTCATGTGTAAGTTACTTGAGGACAGGGACTGTGTCTTGTTTATCTTCAAATCGCTGGCACCCAGCACTGGGCCCAGTGGTGGCAGGTGGGTATTAATGGTGGAGACCGTCATGAATGGTGACGCATGACAGAATGGTGAAAGGTGGAGCTCAGGCGGAAGTGGATGAGTGGTGAGTGGATGGGCCCAGTGAGGTGCAAGAAGGGACACTCAGGGTCACTGCTGTCACCGGCTCTTCTGACGAGTCCTATTGTCTTAGTTGAGATCCCCCTGGGGAGGCGCCCTCTCCTGGGAAGGGAAGGCGGCATGGGGAGGAGGAGCCACCATCAACTTTCTGACATTGTTTCTACACAAACAACTAGTGGTCACGGTCATCACGCAGCATTTGATCCAAACCTCGCCCCCTTTCTCGGGGCCCGGAGAGGGTTTTTGCTCCAGCCAAGAGCTCACGGGCGCCCCCAGGATGGCTGTGGTGTTTGGGAGCCAGAAGTCACCTGAGCTGGCCTCCTGCAGCCCAGACCACAGGTGGGCGGAGGGAGGAGGAACATGGGGAGTAGGGGAGGAAGTTTCCAGACGTTGAGCTGTCACTGGAAGCTAGAAATGGGGCTACCTCTGTCACCTCGTGTCTGCTTTTGCCCTGACTTTTTAGCCTTTGAAGCCACCCCTTATAAAAACCTCTTCACTTGGAACCGCTCAAAGGTTTACATTCACCACGCCAGCAGGTTCCCAGCTACTTTCGAACCTGGCAACTTCCCTAGACTGTCGAGATGGTTCAAATGCCTCTTAACTGCTGGATGTTTCCAAACACATTTGAACTTGTTAGCAGAGTTTTTTAAACACAGATGTTCGGGAGAGCTCTCAACCCCTGCAGCAACATCTGCCCACCCTCTGCCTTTCTCCCGGGAAGAGAGGCACAAAGGGAGGGTGGCACCCACCACACGACCTGGGTGGGCCATCGGGCTCCTCGGGGCTCCCAGGGTCAGCCAGGCCTGGGCACCTGGCTGGCTCCACACATTTTCCCTCCCACTGGAGGGAAAAGTCCCAACACGTCACGGTTCTGCAGCAGAAACCGGACCTGAAACAGCAGCCGAGAAAGAGGATTTGCAAGAAGTGGAGTGGGGGTGGGGGGCGTCCCTCTGTCTGTCCGCCCACGCCACCCCATCCCAGGTAAAACTGAAACAGGACAGGTGTGCCGGCTCCTGTGCAGATGAGTGTGCCCTGTGTCCCTCGGGGCTCCCCAGATCCCCGGTGCCCTTGAAGAATGAGCAGGGACAGTTCTGCAGTCCCCCAGAGCCTCGGAGCCCCACAGTCTCAGTCCGGTCCTGGCACGGCAGGGAAGGGAGGGCATGCAGATAGCTTCTGCCCCCCACAGTTAGCGAGTGCTATGAAAATGGAAAACCGGAGAGAGTTTTTATAACAATGTCCTTGAGGCAGAACATCTGCAGCCGGACCAGACCACACACACATCTCTGAGGAACTGGCAGAATTCCTCCCTGTTGAGGGATGGTCATTGTCATGTGTTGGCACAGAGTCCTTGAAGCCAAAGCCAAGCTCCTCACCCTCAGTGACACCCAGGTACCCACTCTGGCACCCAGCCCTGCCCCTTCTGAGCCACTGCTACCTTTGGGAATAAATGGCAATGGTTTTTCAACAGGATAATTAGACCAAATCAAATTCTAGTCTTCTAATGGCTATTAAATGCATCACAAACCCTTTATTGATTCTCTCTAGGGAAAGAGAGAAGTCCTGGCTGAGGCTCCCCGCTGGGCAGGCTGGCCGACCACCAGCGCGAGCTCACCCAGGAGACGCGCCCCGCACAGAGTTCGGGCACGGGGGGCAGAGGTCAGGGAATCCAGGCCAAGTGGTTCCCGGGCACTGACCTCACTGGGCTCAGCTGATACCTGGTTTTTTTTTGGCCTTCTAGGATCCGAACCCCCAAAAGACAAGACTATCATCCTGGAGCAGCTCCGGAAAATCTCCCTACCTCTCTACAGCATCCTCTCTGCCCTCACCATCCTGGGGATGATCATGGCCAGCGCTTTTCTCTTTTTCAACATCAAGAACCGGAACCAGAAGTAAGTCGCTCATGCCCTCCTCTTGGACCACGCCCTCTGGGGTGACAGCCCTCACAGACAAAGTGTAGGAGCATCACGTGGCGGGTTCCCCGGGGGCACAGAAGACCTCAGGGCAGTTTTCTAAAGCGTGCCACTCAGTTTCGAGGGTGTTATTAGATGTTTCCCGAGCATGCACACACCCATGCACACACACCCATGCACACACAGAGGCAAGGCTGCTCATTGCACAGGAGCCCCTGGTCAGGTAGGTTTGGGGAAGACGGGGTTAAATGAAACGGAAGGATGTAAGTCTAGGGGCCTTCTCAGAGCGCTGGCTCTGCTCATGCATCTCGTGGTGGTCCAGGAGGAGAAGGCTGCAAGACAGCACCCCGCAGTGTCTTTGCCCCACCCCCGGCATTTTAGGGAGCATCGTCAGAGCAGATCACTGAGTCCAGGGCCGGGCATTTCCCACAGAGTACAGCTCGTTGCAGTCCAGGTAGCCCCTCCCTGGACGGCAGAGGAGGGCCCTGAAGCTCGGGGACCAGGACCCCCGCCCAAGGCCGCACTGCTGCTGGTGGCAGAGCCCGTCCCCTTGGTTCCAGGTCTTGATGTCGTTTCCGTCACACTTGCCCTTCACTCTCCCAAGGAGAGCAGCTCGCTGTCTGAGTTATTCCGGTCAGTTGTCTGTGGAACAGGCCTCCACCGCAGGTGGTGGTGTTTACCAAGCCCGGGCAGCTTCTGTGGTTTCCCCAGCAAATCCCTGATCCCAGCCCCCTGCCTGGTCCCTGCCGGGGGAGAGGCCCAGCAGAGACTTAGAGCAGGGCCTTCACGGTCCCAGGCTCCGTGCCCACCCGTGGGCAGCACGGCTCTGCCACCGTGCCCAGAAGCCACGCTGCGGGGCCTCCAGGGCTGCCAGCAGCGAGCCTGGTTCCAGGAGAACAGCTGTTTCTCTTCTCTCTGTAAAGAAGGAGGCTCCAAGGTCTAGATTGGTTTTGCCATTGTTTTTGTGGCAGGGGTGGGGGGTGTGCGGCTTAGTAGCTACTGCTTAGGCCAAACCTATTTCCTAAAGAACAAAAAAGAGTTTTATTCACCTGTTGTTTAATTGCATTTATCACCAATAGCACATATACTGCCACAAAAAAATATGTGTGTGTGTGTGTGTGCACGCGCGCAACCTTTATCCACTCCCTACAAACCTTGAATGATGAGCATTTGGCACAAGGCCTGGGCACATAGGTCTCAACATTAGATCCCTTCCTACAAGCTTCAAGAATGCCCATCACAACGGCAAGTTGCCCCTATCCTAAGTCTAAATGCCTTTAATTCCTTAACTACCCATCTTGGCCTCCTGGGGAAAATTGTCATTACTCTTTCCAGTACGCTGGCATCCATGTGAATTTTTTACTGGCTTTGCAAATGTAAACCCTTCTCACTTCTATCTTCCAAAATGCTGCTTATTCATTAAGGCCCCCTCCTCCGGGAAGGCTGCCGAACTCCTGGCCTCTCTCCTGCTCAGCTCCCTGAGATAATAAGAACGAAAGGGCCCCTGCAGGTCATAGTTTGCGAAAGGACCTCCAGGAACCCAGGCTCGTCTCAGCTCACAGGTGCCCCAGTCCGTGTGATCGGTGCTTCTGGAGCGGAGGAAGCTCAGCCACTACTCGCCTTGCCAACAGCGCGCCTCTGGGGGCTGCAGGGCCCGTGTGCTGGACCCATCGCTCCCAACTCGACAGGCCCTGTAAACGGTCCACAATTTACAGCAGGCTTTTTTCTCTTTACCACTTTGATATCACATTACACTCTTTGAATGTGGAAGGATTAGTAAAAGTACATAATGCAAAGGATAATGTTCAGGGAACAATTGCCCATAATTACAATCTGCAAAAGAACACCTGGATCATGGGGTACCTGAAAACTCGAGATGTTCTGAGCGGACTGTGTGTGGGGAGCCAGCGGATGGTTCAACCCAGTCCTGGCTTGCTGGGCAGCTGGGAGCCACAGTGGGATTCCTGATGGGAGGGAGAGAGAGGAGTGGACTTTGGGAGTATAAAAACTGCCCCCCACAGCAGCCTGGTGCAGACAGGGGGAGGGGGTGGGATGAAGGACTCTGTTGTCCACCCCCATCACCTGGTGGCTGGGAGAGGCGTGTCACCCACGTGTGTGGCCCTCTTTGTGCACGGGACAGCGGGAGCTTCGGGCAGCCAAAGTGGATGCTCACTCGCCGCAACTGCTGAGCAGACCTGAATTCCCGCCAGGAGACCTCCCGGGCCTGGTCCGCTCAGCACGGGGGAGTGCGGTGGGGCCCCCTCCCGTCTCACTGCGGCTGGGTGCTGAAGGTCAATGCAGAATTCTCTAGACACAGCCCCAGCCACAGACACCTGTTGACTTAATGTTTTTGTGTAAACTAAAAATGAATGGTTGAAGAAACTGATGTTACAAGCTGTCTCTAGAGAAGTGGCAGGTGAACTTGACCAAGGAGGCAGGAAAATCAACAGCTAGGAATTGACAGCTGTCCAGGGTCCTTCCATGTGGGGGAAACAGCCCCCAGCAGGTGGCACAGTCTTGGGGAGGGGGAGGAGACCAGGGCTTACCTTTTTCTCTGCCCCTCCAGCCTTCACCACTGTGCACCCAGTCAAAAACAGTCGTCAAAGGAGCAGCCACATTACCAGTTCCATTAACTCTGTGTCTCCTTCCCCTGCCAGGCTGATAAAGATGTCGAGCCCCTACATGAACAACCTCATCATCCTGGGAGGGATGCTGTCCTACGCATCCATCTTTCTCTTTGGCCTCGATGGGTCCTTTGTCTCCGAGAAGACCTTCGAAACCCTTTGCACAGTAAGTCATTCTGCTTGTTCCAGTGGAACGTGGTCTGAGGTCTTCTTGGTGACCTCAGCCATTAGAAACGCGTGTGTAAACCCAGAAAGGCATGAAAGCACATGAACAGGCAGGAGACCGCCTGTTCGGCTGTTCACACAGTTCACCAGGCAGTAGGTTGCTGCTTGCAGAGCAGAACGGACCTAAGTATTGCCTGTCAAATTCAGAGTATGGATTTGAGGGTGGGAGGTGGGGGTGACTGGGGCAGGGGGGAGGTGGGGGGGGGGTGAAATGGAGAGGACGATACTTGAACAGCAATTTTTTTTAATTAAAAAATACTTTACCTCCTATAAGCTAATAAAAAGTATTTCACAAGGGAAAAAAGTATGGATTTGACAGGCCACTGCTGAGAGACGGCCCACTGAGGAACGGCTGGATAACCCAGAAAAGCGAGGGAGAAGAATCACCGCCAGGGCCATTTGAGAGGGGACAGGTCTGCCCTCTGACCCCGGGCACCGTCAGGAATGCAAGGAGGGAGGTCCGCGTGGGTCACTCCAAGTCCTGTAGGAAAGGTCCCAGTCGCTGTTCTCTGCTCAAGTAGGGCTTCCCAACCATGTTTTCCTATTTGCCCCCTAAGGAGCCTTTTTAGGCTTTCTTTACTAATCACCCCTCGTGAAAATTTAATGCCAAAGACGTACACACCATATGTATGTCTTTACTTTCACGTAAGAGTACTGTTTTTTCCCACTCAAGCCCCAGTGTTTGGCTCCCTTGGGGACTCTATCACCGCCGCCCCCATGAAAATGCATATATTTAAGGAAGCCCAAAACAGTGTAACTTGTCTATTATGTTTTAGAAATATTATTTTGAAAGTTGATGAACACATTGTAAATTGTTGCTCAGTTGTCGTCGTCGTCGTGGTCACTGTAAGGAGTTTGTACCTCAGCAGTTGGCGACTGTGTAGCGCTGACTCCCGGTGGAAAGTAGCATCAGCTTGCTTCCTTTTTAACATGAGGATGACCTGTCGAGATTTATTTCTGGACTTTGACTACTGTGATCTCTCAAAAACGGGGCTTGCTCTGGCCGGTGTAGCTCAGTTTGTTGGGACAGCATCCCGTGGACCGAAGGGTCGAGGGTTCAGTTCCCAGCCAGGGCACATACCCAGGTTGCGGGTTCAGTCCTTGGTCAGGGCGCATATGAGAAGGCAGCTGGTTGGTGCTTCTCTTTCCCATCAATGTTTCTCTCTCCCCCTCCCTCCCTCACGTTCGCTTTCTCTCTCTCTCCCCCGCACTCCCTCAAAAGCAATGAAAAAATGTCCTTATGTGAGAATTTAAATTTTTTTATTAAAAATAAATTTAAAAAATAACTGGGGCCCTGCCCAGTGTGGCTCAGCTGGTTGAGCATTGTCCTGCGAAGCGAAGGTCACCAGTGTGACTCCCAGTGAGGAAACATACCTAGGCTGTGGGTTTGGTGCCTGGTCGGGGCGTGTACAAGAGGCAACCAACCCATGTTTCTCTCCCTCTCTTCCTCTCTTGTTGTTGAGAGCAATGTAGGCCCCCTCTTTGCGAAGCAGACTCTTTCAGGTGGTATTTCTACTCTGATGTCTCAGTGTCGCCCCCTAGGGGAGCCCTAATACTTGCTGCAGGTCACCACCCCGCCCCCATGGACTGTCTGGGCTACATCGGTGCCCTGTGCTCTGAGACAGCAGGTGGAGAAGAGGGGAGCCCCTGGAACCCTCTGTTGTGTGTAATGACGCCCCCTTGATGTCTGCAGATTCCCAGATGGACTGACTCTTACATGGAGTCAGGAATTGTTAATGTTACCAGTGACTTCAAAGTGAATTGTTTAGCAATTGAGATGAAACACACTTACTTTGTTGGAACCTTTCCATTTGAGAAGTGGGGGTCGTGTCCCCGGTACCCCAGATGGGTGGTGAGGTCAGGGGGGTACTCAGGCATCCGTCCTCTCTGGGTGAGCCAGGGGTTTGAATGGGAGGGCGGTCAAACCCCGAGTATGGCAGGGCTCATTCACTCCCAGCTTCCTGTTCAGAGTTTGTGTCCCGAGCCCTGCACTGGCCCCCTGTTTCATTCTGCCCTTCTGGGGATTGAGAAGGAGAATTCAGAAGCCACCTCTGCCCCACATGCCTAGCAGCAGCGTGCCCGGAGTTCAGAGAAGCTGAGCTGCTCAGACGTCCTTGTGGCTGTGAAGTGGTGGGTCTTTTCCTTCAAGGGGGTGACCCCGTGGGCAAGGATGATGACTTCAGTACATGGCAGTCTTGCTCGTTTGAGGGAAGGTGTGAAGCCTGTGTAGTCTCCTTCGTTTCTGCATCGGCGTGATCATTGTGCCCTGGGGGGCCTTGCACTTCCCCGGGTGCCATGTGTGTCCGTGGGCAGCTTTCCTGGGCCCCTCCTGAGGCACCCTGAGGAAGCTAAGTGAGAAGAACAAGGATATCCTCTCCCCTCTGTGCCGGGGGACACCCTCCCCAAGTGTGAAGAGACCGCAGTGAAAGTGCTGGCGGGGCTGGTTTGGTGACTTCTCATTGACACCGTGCTCTGATCCCTCAGCGAGTCCCCGAGAGCCGAGGGACCCACCTCAGTCTCCCCGCCTGGAGTAAGGGCAGCAGGGCTCCACCCTGTCCCCCCTGGGGGTCCCCGTGTGCCAGCCACTCGCCGCTGGCCGCCTGGGCACACACCCAGGCCTGGGTTTGGGCGTTTGGCGCAGCGAGACTTGGGGCCCTGTCCTCGGAGAGGCCCTCCCTCCTGGAAAGAAGCTCCTGACTCCCCTCCCTGCTCTCAAGCCCAGGTGCTTTCTGGGGTTTGACCTGAATCCCTCAAACACCGCGTGACGCAGGCTGGAGAGCAAAAAAGGGACATCCCCCACACCCGGGATTTTTCTTTTAATGAAGCCTGACATTCTATTCTGGGAGTTGTGCTCATTTGCGCGAGGGGAAGGCTGTCCTGGGAAGCCTGGCGAGGCGGCATGAATAAACCATAAAGTGCTTCACAACCAGCATTAGCTCCGCACACGAGGGCTCCGGGAGGCCGTCAGGGCCCGGTTCTCCTGCCCCCGAGGATTCATTTATTTGCAGTCAGGGCTGCTTCAGAGGCTCTGCAGAAGGGAGCCCACATTCACGCCTGTGGGGAAGAGGCATCCATTGCTGGTGCTGGATTGAACTAGGTCAGCACAAAAGTGCTCCAGGGTCACCTCTCTAATAATTCCCGGTATCGCCCAGGAAGGGAAGCTGAAAGCTCTGAGGTTTAGAGCCCAAACAGTAGGACCCACTGGGTGTGGTCTGGGTTGTGCTCCAGCTGCTATGCGGGGGTCAGCTGCTCTGTTTCACTTGCTGCCTTGGCCTCCGTTCTCTCCAGGCCTAGGAAGCTGCCCCAGTTAAACTCCCACCCACAGGGCGAAGGGGGTAGAAGCAGGGCCACCTGGTGCAGTGAGCACAGATCCCAAACCACAGCCCGGGTTTCTCTCCCACCTCCTACCCTCATTAGCTCCAACCTCGGCAGGTGACTTGGCGTCTCTGAGCCTCAGCGTTGTCATCTGTAAAGTGGGCATAACAGATGCAGGATTGTGGCGTGTGTTGAATGAATTGATTCAGACAAGCTGCCTAGAACATAGGGCGACTTGGGGAGGGGGGAAGGGGGAGGGGAAGGAATAGGCATCTCTCCCCTCATCACTGTATAATTTCCTGGGGTCTTACCCTGTATTCTATGGGAAATCTCACAGGACAGAGGACATGGTAGACCCTGAAGCCAGCTTCTGATGGGGAACAATATGAGTCACTGTTCTGTCTGCTCAGTAGAGAAACTAAAGACAAAGATAAACTGTGAGCATCACCTCAGGAAGAAACCTATGGCAATCACAAGTCGATGTCTCTCTAGGGCCTGTGCCTCTGCTCAGAAGGGCCGCAGTAACTCGGACAGGGCGGTGGGTGGTGTGTGAGCACGTGCACACACACCTAGCCGCTGCTGGGGAAGCAGCTACACTCAGTTCCCCTCCCCCGCTCCTTCTGACCCTTTCCAGAATCTTCCCAGCCTGGTTTCAGCAAGTCTTGCAAATAGCTCCAGCTACACCGTGCTGTCTCCCTGGACGCTGTGTGGGTAGTGGAATCACCATAGCAACGTGGCCCCTGTGGGCACGGAGCTGCCTGTGAGGACAGTGCTGGGTGTGGGCCAGCACCCGGGCGCCAGGGGGTGGGAAGGCCCCGTCATAGCTTACACGCTGACCTGGCTCAGGGATCCCAGCCCCTGGCAGCCTGGAGAGGGAGCAAGGAGGGTGGGGAAGAGGAAGGGCACCCGCCTTCCTTGTAGCGTCTTAGCAGGAGCCCCATCAGGAGCGTGGAGAGAAGGGAGGGGCTCTGCAGGGAGATGAGAAGACTCAGGTGGGTCTTCGGTTCCAGCGAGCGCAGATCTCAGCAGCTTCAGGCACCCTCAGAGCATCCCTGGCCATGGGGCACACGACTGCCCTGAGCCTGCGCCCCCTTGATACCCAGTCCTCTCCACAGTGGTTTCCATGGCCAGGTGCTGCCAGGTGCAGCCTTTCCTCCGAGTCCCCACAACCACCCGGCCAGGCCGGGCTCCCTGCCCCCACTCTGTAGGAGAGAGAACCGGAGCTGGGTCATGCACGGCCGTGGGAGGCAGTATCAAAGTTGGGGACTAGCTCCGTGGGACTCCGAAGACATCTGAGGCATATCATTCATCTTTTTTTCCCAAGAAATAGTTTTATTTTTTTTAAAGCTGGTGTATACCAGGAGAAATAGATCAACAAAATTCTCAGGGTTGTGGTCAGCACAGATCCCAACCAAAATTTTTGTCCATTCAGATTGTCAAAAATTGAGATACAGTTCACATACCATAAACATTCACCCTCTTAAGGTATATAGTTTGAAGGTTTCAGTGCACTTACTGATTGGTTTCCTTAGGTATCCCTGCAGTATATCTGGCTCACACATGAGAGAGGTTCGGACTGCCTGTGTTCAAACCCCAGCTGCACTGCTTCCCGGTTGTGTGTTTAAG